CCCCTCCCCTGGCCGCACCCGGCTCGGAGGGACTGAATGAATGAGTTGGGAAAAAGAGAAGTGCTGCACGGCCCCGCGAGGCTCAGGTCTTTCCAGGGTCCAGCCTGCTCGCGCGGACACCGAGCTTCCCGCTTGCCCACAAGCTGTCCCATCGGAGTCTCACCTACCTCCGGCCTCCAGTTCACCCATGGCCTCGTGGTCCCCAGGAGCCTGAGCCCTACGGCAAGAGGTCCCTCCCGGGCAACTCAGCCTGTCCTCCTGACTCCCCTCGCCCTCGGAGCGTACCTGTTCCCGGGCCCGCCTTTCTCCCTCCACTTCCCGCTGGAGGCGCTCGGCCCTCTCCTCTGCATCATCGGCCTGTTGCTGCAGCACCTGGATCTTGCGCTTCACCGCCTCGATAGTGGTGATACCGGCCATGGTGCCCACCCAGCTGCTTCTGGAACGCGGTTCCTACCTCCGCTCGGCTTTGCTGCCGCTTCTCACCCCTACTTCCGCCTGCTCCGCCCTGAAATACCGGAACTCACCCACCCGCCCGGATGTGACGCCGCCTCCACCGTGCTCTCCCACTGCCGAGCAGGCGGGAAGGCCGTCCACTCCAGGGACAGCTAGCCCAGAGTGAGTGGAGGAGCCTCCCAGTTGCCCTAGGCGACCGCTCCCAGCGGCCTTTCAAGGGCCAGTAAGTGGGGGTGGGGTTGGGAAGGGCTACCATAGTAACTGGGAGGCGGTTCACAGTCTAGCCTCACCCACCAGGCTGCCTGCTGACAAAGGTTGGCCCATTTACAAGTATGGTGCGGTCCTTAACACTTTCGCAATTGACACCTCTCTAATCTCATGCCTACCCACCACTCACTCACTAGCAAGTGTGCTCCCCTCAATATAAAGTATCCGACAAGTTTACGCTTCTTCTTGCTCTACGACAGACTCCAAAACCAAGTTCTAAGAAAAGCCTAAAAAACTAGATTTCATTTTGCTAGGAGTCCCAGGCCAGCCTCCTTTCAGAATCTTTTCAGAAGGGCTGTAGCCATAGCTCAGCTCATAATTTGTCTAGCATGTACGAAGCCCTGGGTTCAATCCCCAGCACTACATAAACCAGGCCTGGTGGCACATATCTCATCCCAGCACTTGGGAAGTGGACACAGAAGGATCAGAAATTCAAGGTCATCCTTGGCTTCACAGCGAGTTTCGGGCCAGTCTGTGTTACAAGAGACCCTGTCTCGAACAGTAAGAACAAAAAACTACTCAGATAGGTTCTCTCCCATCTCCTGGAAGCCTATGAAGGAACTACTGGGATGAAAGATATGGGCAAGTTGGCCACGTTTGCATCCTATGTAGCATCAGTTATGAACTTAAGTTTCTATTTAGAATACCAGCCTTGTTCCCTATTTTGAGAGTCAGTAAGCACCATTTAACCAGCCAGCCCCTTTGAACCTTGGAATGATTCAGGATTTGGTAATTTAATCATCATGTTCAATCCCTTTGGTAGACAAGGGAAGATCTTATGCCTGTGTTCTACCAGGAAGAGTTTCTTACTAGAGTCCGGGTTAGAATATCCTTGGTGCAACAAGACATAAGTATCTGGAAAATTACTATGGAATTTAATCTCTAAAGTGTAAAAACTTTCATCAATTTTATTGCTCCTTCTGCTTTCAGGCTCTCCAAAGAACTGTTATGAGCTAAATATTGCCCCTACTATATGCTGGGCGTGGTGGCCAGCACTGGGGAGGCAGAGGCAGGCAGATGTTGAGACTGAGGCCAGGCTATTCTACATGGCTAGTTCCAGGACGGCTGGCACCTCAGGAAGACCCAGTCTCAAAACAAACAAACAAAACCAAACAACAACAACAAAACCTTCCATACAGGATTTATGGAAGCATAATTGCAAAGAGATTTATTTTCTCTTTATTTCTTTGGTTTATGTTTAATTTGGTTTGGGTTTTGTATGAAACAAAAAACAGTGTCTCATGTAGCCCAGGCTGGCCTCTAACTCACTGTTGTAGCCATGATTGGTCTTGAACTGATACTCCTGTATCAGCTTCCTGAATATAGAAATTACCAGTGTGCCAGGCGTGGTGGCGCATGCCTTTGATCCCAGCACTCAGGAGGCAGAGGCAGGTGGATCTCTGTGAGTTCAAGGCCAGCCTGGTCTACATAGTGAGTTCCAGGACAGCTGGGGCTACAGGGAGACCCTGTCTCAAAAAGACCAAAAAAAAAAAAAAAAAAAAGAAATTACCAGTGTGAACTACCACACTTGACTCTATTTCTTTGTATTTATCATACATTCTCAGTAATAATAACAATAATAACTTTCTCCTTTGATGAAGCTCTCTCTCTTTCCTTAAGAAATAGATATGGTACAGAACTTAGAATTAAGAATCTTAATCCCTGGGGCTAAAAAGATGGTTCAGCAATTAAGAACACTGGCTGCTCTTCCAGAGGAACCCAGTTTGGTTCCTAGCATACACTTAGTGGCTAACAGCTATCCATAACTCCAGTTCCAATGGATCCAACGCCCTCTTCTGGCCTCCACAGGCATTGCACACATATGGTGCACTTACATCCATGCAGACAAAACATACACATAAAAGTTCATTCATTTTTTAAAAATAAAAAATTTTTAATCCTTGATGGCTGAGCATGATGGCACTCACCTTTAATCCCAGCACTTGAGGCAGAGGCAGGTGGATCTCTGTAAGTCTGAAGCTAGCCTGGTCCTCATAGCGAGTTCCAGGACAGCCAGAGCTACAGGGAGACCCTGTCTCAAAAAAAAAAAAGTAAGAAAGAAAGGATTAGAAAGATAGTTGCTGGGGCTGGAGAGATGGCTCAGCAGTTAAGAACACTGGTTGTTCTTGAAGAAGACCTGGGTTCGAATCTCAGCACCCACATGGCAGCTAACAACTGTCCATAACTCCAGTCCCAGGGGATCCGACAGCCTCTTTTGACCTCCTCAGGCATTGCACGACAAAGGTGCACTTACCTACATGCAGGCAATACACTAATACACATAAAATAATAAATAAATAAAATTTTTAAAAAGGTTAAAAAAAAGAAAGAGTTAATACTCTCCACACCTAGTCCTGGTTCTGAGGATACTCCATTCTTTTTGGAAATACTAACAATACAGAAGAATATTTAGCAATGAGACAGAAGAAAGGACTTGAACAGACAATCATTTGCTCAATAGAGCAGCCTGTACACTTTGATTCCTCCCCCAGGAATTTGGGAAGAGCAGGGTTCTGACACTCAGTAAACTGTCCTGAAAGGCCCAAGTATTTTTCAAACTTAGTTTTGAAAAATCTAATCAGAGTTGTTGAGAATTTTGTAATCTGGGTGCGGATCAGCAGGGGGCAGTGTTGCACCTCCCTGCACCCTGGTAAAGATGCCCAAGACTTAGGAAGGCCAATGAAAGTTGAGAGCACACAGCATTCCTGAGGCTGGTAGATTCGTACAGATAATCTCCTCTTGATCCAGGGAAGCAGATGGTTGACTCCTGATAGCCTTTAGAAGCATGATGTATAGGCAGCACTGGGACCAACCAAGGCTATTGTTTTCCTAGTGACAAACAGAATAATGTATCAACACGTACATCTATCCTTGTCCCTTCAAGTGCTTGTTCCAGCTTAGGGACCATGTAGTGTTGTTTTTCCAGTTTTCCAAAAAGGAAGAAGTTGTAGTTTGTGGCAGACAAAACTTTTGGTAACTATCCAATTTGTGTTTCTACTCTCCGATGTCATACACCTAATCCTCCCCACCTCTGAAAGGGGTGGATAGCCAAAAGAAGATGAGAACCCTAAAGGCAGAGTCTGAATATGAGAATCTCAAAACATTAGTGAATGATCCATGGTCTTTCAAGCTATTTTCCAAAACTAAACATGATTTTAAATAATACATGCTTCTGTTTTTCTATTAACTCAGCTTGCTCGGGAATGACTATATTACTGGGGTGTTCATTTGTTGCTGCTAAGATTGCTATGGTGGTACATACCTTTAATCCCAGGGCTTGGGAGGCAGAAGCAGGTGGATCTGTAAGATGGAGTCCAGCCTGGTCTGCATAGCAAGTTCTGGGCCAGCTTGGGCTACAGGGAGACGGTGTCTCAAATAAACCCAAAATTAAAAAAGAAAAAAAGATTTCTATGGGCTAGGTAAATGTAGCTGGGTGGGAGGCCCTGAGTTTAATCCCCAGCCTCTCACACCAAAAATAATAAACAGTCCTTTTCTTTGCTGCAAATTTCAAGGTTGAAGAAGAAGGAAAATAGATGCTACAGTATAATATGAAGTGAGAAAAGGTAATTTATTTCATTTACAAGAGGGAAAAAAACCTAGAAAAGGTGTGCAATTTACTCAGGGTCATAGAGGAAGGTCTGGTAGTGATACCTTTGTCCCCTGTGATTCCTTCTCAGTTTCTAAGATAGTCTACTCTGGAGACCTCTCTGCTCTCCTATGAGTACTGCTTCCTGTGGCATCTTTGTGGCCTAAGGGAAGATGCCCACATTGGCCAAAATAACCCATACAAGGCCAGGGTCAATGTGACCTGCATTTCCCATTGTGAAATCTAAGCTGGCTTTGTTGGGTAATTGAGAGATGAGATCTTCCCTATTAATACACACATGCACATGCCAAGCCTTGTACACAAAAGCTAAGAATGTGGAGTGGGGGAGGAAGTGGGATACATGCTATCATGTGTCTGGACTTGGAGGCCCTTCCCTTGTCCAGGTCCAGGAAAATGTCATTAAATTCCTGGGAAGGAGGGTGGGTAGGATAAAAATGTCTTCTATATGTCTTTTTTTTTTTTTTCAGTGCTTGGCATTGAATCCAGGGCTTCATGCATGCTAGGTAAGTATACTATCACTGAACTATGCTCCCAGCTCCAACATGTCTTTGAGGAAGAAAATGTACTCCATTATGAGGGTGTACCAGCATGTTGTTATATGCAAAAACATATGTTGGTATATGTCTGTAGTTTTTGAGCCCACAAACAAGCAAGCCATGCCTCTAATACTCACATCAGCTGCCTTCTTCTCTGCTAGCTCCAGCTTCTCCTGAGCATCCTTTAAAGCTTCAGAATACTTGTCCAGCTCATCCTCTGTCCCCTTCAGCTTCTTCTGCATGGCTGCTAGCTCATCCTCCAGCTATAAAAACCCAAAGGATCACATACAAAGACATGAACACAGCCATGCCCACTTTGACTTGGAAAGACCTCTGCACCCAGCCTCCATACTACCATCCCAAGAGACACCCTTTCTCCAGCCATTGCTCCAGGAATTATGCTTATGGCTTGACCTCTGACCCTAAGATGACCAAGCCATCCTGAGTTTTCATCCAAGATTCATGAATGATACATATCTAATGGGGAAGATGTCTGTGATACTATTGAAGAGAAAAAAACAGAGCATGCTAAAACTCTTACCTTTTCTTCCGGAAGTCAGATGTTCTTCCAGAACATGGTCCATATCTACTTAAGTCCAGCAGAGACACTGTGGCATGGAAGGGGCCACTGGCTTTCTCAAGGTCATAGGGGTAGTCTAAGGTAGATACCCCACGTATTCTCTGCCCCTTCATTGGCTGAGGGGTCCCACTCACCCAAAAAGAGGAGTACTAGTAGTTACTGCCTTTTCCATCTCAGTCTTGTTCACCAGCTGGCCAGAGAGACCAACGCCAGTGCCTACCTGTTTGCTTCTTTCTTCTGCTTGCTTCTGCTCAGCTTCAGCTTGCTCAGCCCGGTCCAGGGCATTCTCCTTGTCCAACTTTAGCATCTGCATCTTTTTCTTGATGGCCTCCATCATGAGCAATGACTGTTGGTGGGTCCACCTGTGAACACTAGAGAAATGGGGACTAGGGCAAGAAAGGAAGAGCTGCTGCCTGAGTGGCTAAAAGTTTCCCGTGCTTGAGCCTTTATCTGTGCTCATAGCTCCACCTCTTTTTCCTAACATGGTCTTTCCAGCTCCCTCCACCCTATCATTGTTCTTCTAGGGTAATACAGGGTCAGACACACCGATAGACTGACATCACCAGAAAAAAAAAAAAATTGAGGAACAGCTGAGGCTGATTTTAGACAATGGAAAGTGGGGGAGAGGAAAGACTCTCACTGACCTTGAAACTTTCCATTCATTCTAGGCAGCTCTATGAGTGTTTCAAAAATGGAGGGCCAGAGGAAGGGAGAACATTGAAATAAAGAAGGGTACTTTGGCAATTGTAGTTGCCGAGGGTCCTACTTTCCCTTCAGCTCTCTCATTCTTCTTTGGACTATATTGGATACACATTAAACTCTACTGGTTGAGTTTCATCTTTTGAATCCTTGTGTTTAAGGAGCCTGGGCAACGGTGAAGAGGGAGGTCACCCATGATCCTTGACAATTCCCCCAGATCGCCAGTTCCAATTGCTGTGCTATTTTGGATTTTCTAATTAGCAGGGAGACATTGTTCTTCTCCCCCTAAGAGCCATAGGAATAGAGTAAGAGAGTTGGTATCTAGAAGCACTATCCTAGTGCTTTAAGTGGAACAGGGAGAGAAATAAGGAGGATCACAGTAATCCAGACAAGATCAAAACTTCTGCTTTCCCCTATTGGTCTTAAAAGAGAATTCTTATACCCACGCATATCAAAGTCCCTTCCCTATTCCTTATTGTCACCTGTTCCATTTACTAATTCCTGCCCAGCCCACTCACTACCCACTAGGCCATCATAATCATCACTACCAGCCTCATTCTCTCCAATTTGGTGCCAGCCATGTTCATTTTTCCATTTGGAGCCTTGTTACTGGCAGGTGCTGATTGACCCTGTACACTGCTGCCATATACCCAAGACTATGCCAGAGAAATGGGTACTGCTCAAGGTGACCAGTGGTATAGGGAAGAATATAAATGGCTCTAATTCATCATAATGTCAAGGATAGTGTTAATGTAAACCCCAGCAATGCAGAAACTGGGTCAAGTATCAGGCAGAGGGCAGAGTAGAGTTGGTCCTCTCCCAAGAGCTTCCACTCATGGAATAGTAGTAGCAGATGACAACTGGTAGACTAGGCAGACAGACCATTAGCCAACCATTGAAAGAAAGTAAACACATATCCCTACTTTGAAGACTGGGCAAGGGACTAGGAAACAATAGAGTACAAGGGAAGAGAAGCAGGGGTTGATGGAGAAGAGGAGTGATGGAAAGGAGGAAAACATAAGGGCAAGAGAGGGAAAAGAAATGTATCCTAACTAGAGTGAGGGGCAAGATTCACTCTTTCACTCCCACATCAGCCTTCTCACTTAAAACTGAAATCCATGTGGGTTACAGCTGTCTCTCAGAGGTGTCCTGGAGAGGAATTTGGTAAAAAGAGACAGACAAGGGGGCTGGAGAGATGACTCAGTGCTTAAGAACACTTGCTGTTCTTCCAGAGGATCCAGGTTCAATTCCCAGAACCCACATGATAGCTAACAACCTTCCATAACTCCAATTCCAGGGAATGTAACACCCTCTTCTGACCTCTTTGGGCATTGCACACATGTGGTGCACTTACATACATGTAGGCAAAACACTCATATATAGCAAATAAAAATAACAAATAAAACATTTTTTTAAAGGAGATAAGTTGGGAATATAGCTCAGTGGTAGAGCACTTGCCTAGCATATGTGAGACCCCAGGCTCACCCTTTGGTATTCCTAGGAAAAAAAAGAAAAGACAACAGACAAGCCAGGTGTAGAGGCACACGCCTTTAATCCTAGCACTCAGGAGGCAGAGGTAAGCAGATCTCTGTGAGACTGAGGCCAGCCTGATCTAGATAGATACCTAGTGAGTTCCAGGCCAGCTAGGGATACAGGGAGACCCTGTCTCAAAACAAAAACAAAAACAAAAAACAAACGAAAGAAATCCAATAAAACAAAACAGAACAAAAGACAACAGACAAGAGCCCCAGAGCCCAGAGTGTGACATAGAAAACAGGGTGATGCTGAATCTCCCACTGCTGTAAGAATATGTTTGATATTTAGTTGGTTCCTAATTCAACAACCCAATATCAAACATATCACACAGAAGCAGGCAGGTGAGCCTTTCTCCTCACTGTGAAGGTCAGAGAAGAGAAACCAGAGCCTAGTCATGCACAGATGGAAAGCCATCTTCCTGAAAGGCACTGGCCCTTGCTCTTCACCTCCAAAAACAGGCTCTTGTTCATTTGCCCTCCATGCCATCCCTGCCACAACTACTCCCCTGCCAGTGCCTGATCTGTCTCAGCTGGATCATGTTTGCCTCCAGCAGGACTGAACAGGCTTCACATCCAGGCACTTACCATTCCCCAGCTCTGAGCTCTCACATGAAGCTTCTCCCAGTTATGTGACAACCCCAGTATCCAGAGGATCAGCAGTGTCAGCAACTCCTCAACAGCTTTTCCACCTGTCCTCTTCGATGCCACTCCAGCTGTCTGGGGCTTTCCGGGGTTAGAGGTAGGGCTTGTATATCCTCTGCTGTATTTTTCTAACCGAACTTCTCACCTTCCCAGATTTCACAAGATTGCTGAGGTTTTCTCAGTGGACTCCATCTTCACAACCTCCTGCCCTTAAGTGTTTGAAATAGCAGTGGGAAACTTCTGAAAAGCTGGGCTGCTTCTTTTCACTACCATGTGCCTTTTCCCCTTCTCCTTGTGTCCTTCAGGCATCCTCCTTTAAGTCACCCTTGACTATTCAGACCAGAAAAGTATGCTGTCTCACGTCTCACTCTTAGGCTTCAGTCTGGGCTCCAGACAAGAAGTCTGGAACCTAGACTTTTAGATCACAATTAAGAGTAAGTGGGAACTGCTTCAGCCAGGAAATGACCTGCAGTCCTTAGACTCCCATCCTCCTCTCTCTTCTGGGGCTTTTTACCACCAGACCTGGGCTGGTTTCTTCAAGGATCTTCTAGTAGAGATTTAACCTGGTTCTTTTCTTGGGAAGTTATTCTTTTGGAAAGAATGTCACTTGGCAGGCAGATGCTTCACTCTACTGTGGCAGAAAGGAACCAGAGTTATAGCTGCATGGAGGTGGGGGACTTGCGTGGAAGTGTGGGGGTAGGAGGGCACTTTCTATCAGCCCCCAGGCATGTTCCATGTGTCCTTGCTCCATTAACTCTGACATCCTCCTTCCCCCATATACCAACTCCACAGTGACTTTGATCTAGATCGATAGCTTGTCCCCAGCCCCAGTCAATTCCTATTGTGTGGCACTTGCCCTCTAGGAGACTAGCAAATGGGCCCAACCCCAAAATAGACACTTGTGCTCTCTTATGTTTTTGTTCTTTTGTACAAAGGTATGGTTCTCCCAAAGAACATGTGTGGGTAATACTTCCTTGCCCTCCAACTTACCCTTAAATCAACCCTCACCCCCTACCCAGTTCTAATTCCCTTTTCTGAGAACCTCGCCCACCCTGGGGAACCAGAAGCTGGAGGAAGAGAGGTTGGAAAAGGGACTAGCAAGAATTGAAGACTAGTATTTGGAACACAGAAGAACAAAGGTAGATTGGGAATATTAGTGTGGGGAGAAACAGATCTCTTGGAAGTGGACTTTAGGCATAATTAGGCAGAAATATCCATCTAATGAAAGCCTTCTAGCTCTCCTGAAAGTAGTTTATCATTACATTTTCTTTTCCTGTGTATGTGCGGGGGTGTATATGTGCCAAGGTGTCTGTTTAACCAGAGGACAACTTCTGGGAGCCAATTCTCTCCTTCCACGATGTGGGTTTTGGGGATCCAACTTGGGTTGTCAGGCCTGGTGGCAAGTACCTTTACTCACTGAGTAACCTCACTAGCCCTTGGAAATGTTCTTTGTTTTCTATACCACCAGGGCCAATTTTATTTTAGTCATATTTTACCAACAATGGGACACTTCATGCCTCCTGGTGGTATCCACTGAGGCCAGATCCCTTATGTAGGATTCCTAAGAAAACAGCCTGCATTGAATCATGGGTATCATGGCTAATCTCACTTGTCAACTTGATATCTAGAATCACTGGGGAGATGGGTTGGAAGTGTTTTCTATGTAGCTATTTTAGACCATACAAAGTCCTTCTGAGCCACAGGAGCAGTATACAATTTCAGCCATAGAGACGAGAGGGGTTGGAGTGGTACAATGGAGCGATGTGATGAGAACAAACAGAATTGTCAGGGAGGGTCAGGGAAGATTGGCTCTATAGAGGGTCAATCTGTCAATAATGGAGCCAGCTTGGCACTGACAAGCCCCAAGGTAATAGGCCAAGATCAGGGATGCAGGCAGAGGGGATGAGTGTGGGTCCAAATGAACATGAAAGTGGAAGAGAGAAATAGAAGTGGTTGGTTAGAGTATGATGGGAGTGGAAATAAGGAAAAGTATCATGCAGTAGGAAAACAGCATTATGGGTTAGTATTTCTATTAGGTATTATGTGCAATTTCTTCTAAGTGTCTTATTTCATTTCCACAGCAACTCAATAAGGTAGGCATTGTTTTCATTCTACAGATAAATAACCATAACTCAGAAAATTAACACTTGCACCAGGTAGATGTAGTAAATGGCAGAGCCAGTGTCCATTGTTCTCAACTCCAGGCTATACTGCTGGTGAATATGCAGTGGAAGGCAGAGAAGAGCGAAGGGGTAAGCAGTGAAAATGATTTGGGCCAGACTTTTGGAAACAGACTCAGGAAATGACAGAAGGAATGGGATTTCAGTCTCAGCTTTGTTGTTAAATCCAGATCAGGTGTTTGTGGGTTTATCTCTTACTCATGTCACACCTATAATTACTCTTCAAGGTCTGCCTTCCCCCACCAGCCCATGAGCTCCATGTTATTTAGTATAAGGATTTTTTCTTTCCTTTTTTTGTTCTTTTGGTTTTTTTGAGACAAGGTCTCACTGTGTAGCCCTGGCTGGCTGGGAACTCTTTCTCTATAGTCTATATATATTCACAGAGATCCATCTAGCTCTACCTCCTGAGTTGCTGGGATTAAAGGTGTGTGCCAGCATGTCCAGCTTGGTATAAGAATTCATGACTAGTTATTGACTAAGCATGAGAGTTTAGGAAGCAGAGGTGATGAGGACAAAGAGAGGGAAGTGTATAGGATGGAGCCTGATATTCAAACTGGATAAAGGCTTGGCCAGGAGATCATGAATCAGAGACCTAGGTCATAAAGAAATCTGAGGAGGGAAATGAGGATATTATATGCCAAGGACCCAGTTTGCTCTCTCTCTACCTATATTATCCATTTAATCCTCAAAACAAACCTATGATATGGGTATAATTATCCTCCTTTTCAGAAGAGGAAAGGAAGTTCAGGTAAATCTTCTACACATTATGACCCAAAGAGGCAAAGCCAGAATATGAACCTAACTTGCCCCCAAAGCTGGTACCCTGCTGCTTCTCCAAGTGGGAGGGGTGTTGAGGGTGGAAAGAAGTCTCCTAAAGCTAGGTGATGAAAAATGCAGGATTTTTTTGGCGGGGGGGATGTCTTTTTCTGAGACAGAGTCTCCCTGTAGCCCCAGCTGGCCTGGAACTCACTATGTAGATCAGGCTGGCCTGGAACACACAGAGATCTGCCTGCCTCTGCCTCCCTAGTGCTGGGATTAAAGGAGTGTGTCATCACACCCAGCTGAAAAATTCAGGATTTAATGGGAGATTGAAGGATAGAGACAGACTTGAGAGAGGGTAGGAATGAGGATGTGAGTTCTGCAGTGGAGACAAGACTGCAGAGCTGAGGATCCTGTGTGACCAGTTGAGGATGCTAATGAAAGTTGAGAGATTAAGTATAGCCTCCCAGAGGCTACTGGCTGAGGAGAAGCATTCTTTCTGGATCTAGTGTCATTTATATGTAAAGTGGACTTCTTTTTTTTTGTGACAGGCTCTCAACTGGCTTACCTAGAACTGGCTATGTAGACCAGACTGGCCTCAAGCTCACAGAGATCTGCCTGCCTCTGTCTCTGGAGTTTTGGGATTAAAAGCATGTGCCACCAGGCCCAGCTAAAACAGACTCTTGAAGTTATGTTTCTTTGTAGCCTATGGGTACATGTGGTCAGTTAATACTTTTCTGGATTTTTTTCAGTGTCAAATGCCTTGAGAATGGACATGTTCTTTTCAGCTCTTCAGTCCTACTACTCTTTATTACTTTATACCTGTTATGTTACCCCTGATCTCTGGAGGAGTTTTAGTTTGGAATCCTTGTATTTTTGCTGAGGTAGGAGTTCAGGTGTAGAAGAGGCTAATCCATGGTTTCACAATGAAAAGATGACTTCCAAACTTAGGTCTGCTGACACTCAAGCACCATAGTACCTGTTGATTACTAGCCACATGCAAAGCTAGTTGTCCATGTATTCAGAAAAGATCAGGGAAAGTGAGGTCTGAGAGGTGGTGCAGAAAATCTAGGAAGTTAAAAATTATAGCAGCTATGGGGCTGGAGAGATGGCTTAAGAGCACTGAGTCCTCTTGCAGAGGACCCGGGTTCAATTCCCAGCACCCACATGGCAGCTAACAACTGTCTCCAACTCCAGTTCCAGGGGATCTGACACCCTCTTCTGACCTCAGCCAGTATTGCACGACACGGGTGCCCTTACACACATGCAGGAGATATGCTCATGCACATAAAATAAAATATTTAATGGGGCTGGAGAGATAGCTCAGGGATTAAGAGCACCAGCTGCTCTTGCAGAGGACCTGGGTTTGATTCCCAGCACCCACATGCTGGCTAACAACCGTCCCTAACTCCAGTTCCAGGGGATCAGACACCCTCTTCTGACCTCCGTGGGAATTGCACGGCAAGGGTGCATTTACACACATGCAGGCAATACACATACACACACACACACACACACACACACACACATAATAATATTTTTTAAAATTATGGCAGCTATAAACAAATCAATATTCAGGGCGGAGGATGAACCACATGGCCTAAGTTTGAACTTTTAAAAGCTAGCTTTATTAGGAAAAACCAATTTAGGATTTTCAGTTCTGGCATTGTCTTCTTCCCACTTTACATCAATACTGCATATCCCACTCTGACCACAAGGTGTCACTCTTGCTTTCACTAGCTTTTCATGGGCAACATTGAGTAGCCATGAGAGGTCCCAATCTGTTTTGGGAAGGCAGAGACTTGGTCTGTTAGCAGGCACGATGAGAATGGAAGAGCAGTGTTCTGGAGGTCATCAGAGTCTCTCCTTATAAAAGGCTTTGCCCATCTGATTTAGTTCCTGCTGGTACTGCTGATGTTCCTTTTCAAACAGCTGGTGCAGGGCAGCTTGACGGACCTAATGGGGAAGGCAGAAAGTGTGCTGTTGGTCCTCTCTCTTTCTTCGCTTCTTCCTGGCTGCCTTCTCCACCACTCTGTTCTCTCGGACCTGGACTTGGCTGTGACATAAAAGTAGGAAACCGCAGAGGGCTAAGCCAGTGGAGGGGAAGCCTATTCATTTTTTCCTCATGGTAAAGCTCCATGTTCAACGAATATTTGCTGAGAATACACCATGAACTAGGATAGCTGCTAGATACTCAAGATACAAAGATAGTGGTAGCAGTTGGCACCCCAGGAGGAGAAACATATTAAGAGGCAGTGTGGAGTCTTACCAGAATGAAAGGAGCAAAGACTATAATGCACTGGGACTGGCAACTGCAGTTGGGTATGGTGGTCCATGCCTATAATCCCAGCACTTGGGAGCCTGAGGCAGGAGGATTGCTATAAGTTCCAGCCCAGCCTGGACCACAGAGCAAGATCTTGTTCCACAAAAATAAAACCAAAGCTGGGTATGAGAGCATATGCCTGTAATTCTAGGACTTGGGAGGAGGTAGAGGCAGGAGGATGGCTGCAAGTAAAAGGGCAATTGAGTTTACATAGAGCCCCAGGCCAGCCAGAGCCATTGAGGGTAAGATCTCTCTGTCTCTGTCTCTGTCTCTCTCCCTCTCCCTTTTGTCTTTTTGACACAGGGTCTTCCTGTAGTCCAGCAGACCTGGAACTGCCTAAGTAGACCAGGCTGGCCTTGACCTCACAAAGATCCGCCTGCCTCTGACCCTTGTCTCCAAAAACAAATCAAATGCTGGGCATGGTGGTTGTATACCTTTAATCCTAGCATTTGGGAGGCAGAGGCAGGAGGGTCTCTGTGAGTTCAAGGCCAGCCTGATCTACATGGAGAGTTCTAAGCCAGCCAGGGCTACATAGTGAGACATTGTTCCCTCCTTCCCCAGATAACAACCCCCTCCCCTGAAAGTTCGAAACAAAAACAACCAAAAAACCAAAGGACCCAACAAAACAAACTCCCATCAAAACCAAAACTAAACAAAAAGTGTCATTTGTGAACAGAATTAAAAAAAAAAAAAATCCCTTACTTGATGTCTTTCAATTCCTGTGTTAAAAACAAAACCAACTTGAGGAGGAAAGGGTTTGTTTGGCTTACAGAACAGTCCTTCATCAAGGGAAGCCAAGGCAGGAACCTGGAGCACAGACCATGGAGGTATGCTACTTACTGGCTTGCATCCCTGGCCTGAGCTCAACCTGTTTTCTTTCTTTCTTTTTTTTTTCTTTTTTGTCTTTTTGAGACAGGGTCTCTCTGTAGTCCCAGCTGTCCTGAACTCACTATGTCGACCAGGCTGGCTTCTTTTTATTTAAGTATATTATTTATTCCAGGTGTGGTGGTGCATGCTTTTAATCCCAGCACCTGGGAGGCAGAGGCCAGTGGATCTCTGTGAGTTCAAAGCCAACCTGATCTACATAGTGAGTTCCAGGCCAGCTGGGGTTATAGGGATACCCTGTCTCAAAAAGACCCCCCAAAAGTGTATTATTTATTATTATTTTCTGTGTATTGAGTGTATTGCCTATGTTATGGAAGTGGACCCATGTCATGCAATGCACAGAGGTCAGAAGATGGCATTTGATTCCATGGAACTGGAGCTAAGGATGCTTGTTAGCCTCCATGTGGGCACTGGGAATCAAACCCAGGTCCTCTGCAAGAGCAGTTAGTGCTCTTAACAGCTGAGCCATTTCTCCAGCCAATCAACTTGGTTTCTTATACAACACAGGACCACCTGCCCAGAGGTGGCACCACCCAGAGTGACCTGGGCCCTCCCTTATCACTCAACAGTTGAGAAAATAAGAAAATGCCCCACAGACGTGGACACAGGCCAGTCCAATGGAGGCAGTTCCACAACTGACATTTCCTCTACCCAGGTGTGTCAAGTTGACAACTAAAGCTATACAAACAGCATTTGGAATTAAAGTATTGTTCTGATAATATCATGGAAAACCTCAGAAGCAAATGAAATGGGTGTCATGACACAGACTTGAAATCCAGCTGGCAGAAGTACAGAGTAGTAAAGTGAGATTTTAGGCTGCCTTCCCAGAACTCACCATCAGTAGCTGTTTGTTGGCCAGTTCCAATTCCTGTATCATGGCATCCTGCATCTTTAAGGTGGCATACATGTTTCTCCTCTGGCTCAATGTCATCTGCCACATATAGTGAATATGAGAATTTTGCCACCTGTCCCAGGTAGAGAGATGGTAGTTAAATGGGTTATTTAGGAATGAAGACAAAACCCTATCAGTGAAGTTGCTTTGTCACCACAACCTCTGCTAGTGTCAGATTGCAAAACTCTTGAAAGGATAACTAGAATTGATTTAGTCACTATCCTGAATCATTACAATATGCATGAGGCACAACATTCAACTGATAAATTCAGAAAAGTTTTAAGTTGCCTAGGTCATTTATAATGGCAGACCTGGGTCTCAGCCAATTGTCCCTCAAAAAAGTCTCTTTTTTGAGACATGGTCTATATTGCCCTGGCTGGTCTGCAACTTGCCATGTAAGACCAGGCTGACCTAGAACTCACAGAGATCCTCCTGCCTCTACTGGGATTAAAGATATGTGCCACTGCACCCAGTTTTTTAAACAGTCTCATGTAACCCAGGCTGACCCCCACTATGTTGCTGAGAATAACCTTTAACTTCTCTACCTCCCCAGTGATTAAAGTATAGGGATGCACCACTGTGTCAGGTTTTATGTAGTGCTGGGAATTGAACCCAGGGTAAAACAGTCTACAAATGAGCTACATCAATTTTTTTTGAGACAGGGTCTATATAGCCTTAGCTGGTCTGAAACTCATTACGTAGCCAGGTGTGGTAGCACATGCCTTTAATCCCAGAACTTGGGAGGCAGAGGCAGGTGGATCTCTGTGAGTTCAAGACCAGCCTGGTCTACATAGTGAGTTCCAGACTAGCTGAAGCTACAGGAAGACCCTATCTCAAAATATCAAAAAATAAATTTTATGTGTATTGCCTATATGTAAGTGCTCCTGTGTTGCACAATGTCTGCAGAGGTCATAAGAGGGTGTTGGATCCCCTAGAACTGAATAGATGTTATGAATGGATGTTAGCAGCCATGTGGGTGCTGGGAATCAAACTCCTGAGTCCTCTGCAAGAGCAGCCAGTGCTCTTAACCACTGAGCCATCACTCCAGCCCCTTTTCATTTTTTAAGTGCATGAGTGTTTTGCTTGCATGTATAGAAGTGCATTATGTGCATCGTGCATGTAGTGCCTGAGGAAGGCAGAAGAGGGCATCAGATCCCAAAGGACTGGAGTAACAGCAGATGGTTGCTAGCCACCATATGGGTGCTGGGAACCAAATCCAGTCAAACTATCTTCTGCAAAAAAGAAAAACTTGCACCTTTCCTCTAAAGAATGGGAGCAGGAGCAATAAACCATGCTAGGCACTAGGAGGCTGAGCTCTGCTTGAAGGCTGCTTCCTGTCTTTTTAAATTAAAAAAATATGCCAGGCATGGTGGCACACACCTTTTAAATCCCAGCACTTGGGAGGCAGAGGCAGGCAGATCTCTGTGAGTTCAAGGCTAGCCTGGTCTACATAGTGAGTTCCAGAGCAGCTGGGGCTACAGGGAGACCCTGTCTCAAAAAGACCAAAAAACCAAAATAAATAAAAATATTATCTTTTTGTTTTTTGAGACAGGTCTCCCTGTAGCACCAGCTAGCCTGGAACTCGTTATGTAGACCAGACTGGCCTTGAACTCAGAGATCTGCCTGCCTCTGCCTCCCAAGTGCTGGGATTAAAGGTATGAGCCACCATGCCTGGCAAAAAATATTTTTATGTGTATTGCCTACATGCATGTTAAGTGCACCTATGTCATGCAGTGCTTGTAGAGGTCAGAAGAGGGTGTCGGATCCCTTGGAACTGGAGTTATGAGTGGTTGTTAGCTGCCAAGTGGGTGCTGGGAATCAAATCCAGATCCTGTGCAAGACCAGCCAATGCTCTTAACTGCTGAGCCATCTCTCCAGCTCCTTGCTTTTTACAAAATTTGACTTATAAAAGTGCACTCACGTCATGCAATGCAGAAGACACATGGATTGTGTTGGATCACATGGACCTGGAGTTACAGACCATTGGTAGCTGCCATATGGGTGCTGGGAACTGAACTTGAGGCCTCTCCAAGAGCAACCAGACTTGAGGGGTCTCCAAAGAGATGGAGTAGAATTGGAAGGTGGATCAGGGATAGAAGGGCAGAAAATACAAACTGATGGGAGGGGATGAACAGAGATTACCTGTTGACCATCTTCTTAAGTGCCATGGCCCTTTGTAAACGCTGTAAGAGAAGGGAGCTCTGTTGATCTGCTTTGACTAGAACCTTACAACCAGTACCCACTTTTGAGAGGAAGCACATTTCCTAGGGAAGATGGGAAACTAACTTTTTTCAGAATGGACTAAAGAAAATACGTGACGTCAGGGTGGAACACATATCTGAGTTAACTACTCTGTGCCAGAAATAAGTGTTCTACTTCTATTGCTAACTTTGCCCCATTCTTATATTAATGGCCTTTCTCGGCAAATGGTGTACTTATGGTAACTTGATCTGGAAACCACAAGAGAAACTCCTTCTGCCCATCCCCTCCTCCCAACTCTGCATACCTTTTCCATTTTTGCTATCTTTTCCATAGACATATCTACAGACAGGCTCGGTAACGCTGAGACTAGGCAGGCTCTCCTTTATGTTTAGTTTAGTCACCATGGTTTCTGTAGTCATAGCAACGTTAGGCCTCCAACAATGACCCTAGGCCTAGAAGTTGATTGGTTATTTGGCCTGTTACCCCAGTGACCTGAAGGGGATCCTGGTTCTCCAGGATTCAGTTAGAGGTAAGGCAAGTCAGTGAGCATGGGCCACACAGTCCCCACTTCAGGATTCTTCTTTTGGGGCTTCAGAGTATGTGTATAATCATAGGTTTTGAAACACACAGTCCAACCAAGTCTATGGAGGCAAGGCTTCTCGCCCTATCTCCTGTAAGGCAAATGCAGAAACATCATATGCCTGTTCTAAAAAAGATTACTATAAAGGAATGATTCATACGCTCTTTTAAAGTAACTCATTTTATTAAATAATTTATAAACTAAGACCAATCAGTGACAATTATGGGAAATCATTTCTTCACATTGTCTCACATCTTGGCATAGACTATGCCAGGTGTCAGAACATTCCCTTTTACCCAAGTCAACAGTACTGAGTGAAGGTAGGACAGATCCTTGCACTTCAGGAAAAAATTCGTTTGTCCCAATGTAACCTGCATTATGTGGAGCACCACAGGAAGAACTCCACAATCCCCCTACTTTTTCATGAAGGTCCTGACTTTTCCACCAATCAACTCTGAGATGTCCTAAAATCAAATATTTCTATTCCATTGAGTGCAACAGGGTAGACATAGAGGACACCTCACCTCAATCCACATTAAACAGGGTAGGTGAGCTATGGTCAAAAATCAAGTTTTTCTTTTGTTGTTGAGACAGGATACCCGTCTATGTACCCCAGCTGGTCTGAACTGGATAGGTAGACCAGGCTGGCCTTGATCTCAAGAGATCTGCCTGCATCTGCCTCCTGAGTGCTGGGATTAAAGATGTGCACCACCACACAGCAGCCACAAGTAAAGTTTTAAAAATATATTTAATTTTTATTTAATGTGTATGGGTGTATTGCTTGCACATAGGTAGGTGCACCCATGTCGTGCAATGTCCATGGAGGTCAGAAGAAGGTGTCAGATCCCCTAGAACTAGAGTTACAGATGGTTAACTGCCATGTGCGTGCTGGGAATCAAACCCTGGTCCCCTGCAAGAGCATTCAGTGCTCTTAAATGCTAAGCCATCTCTCCAGCCCCCACAGTAAAGATTTTAAAGCAAGGTTTGATAGAAACATCAAGAATGATACTTAGTTGGGCGTGGTGATGCACACCTTTAATCCCAGCCCTTGGGAGGCATAGGCAGGTAGATCTCTATGAGTTCAAGGCCAGCCCCACTACAGGGAGATCCTGTCTCAAAAAGACCAAAAAAGAATGGTATCTGAATTCAAATTCAGGAAAAGTGCTACTGGGAGACAATGAGGACTTAGCCAGTATTTTTTAAATGCCTGTAAGAAATGGTTGTGGAATGACCATTCAGACACAAGCTCTATAAACACTCTGGACCCAATAAACGTTTTCCATGATAGAGTCCAGGCCTGCTGAGTCAGATATCCTGAAGGCTGCAACAGCTCCATCACAGAGTACTCTCCAGTGTGTTATAGTTGTCCTTAAAGCTCTTCAATTCCAGAAAGTGCTTGGCACGTTTACTTTTCTGACTGGAGGGGAGGTATGTGACCTGGATGGTTGTTGGAGATATTTCAGGAGACTGAGTTAGGTCTTTGGCTGCTGACTGGTGTTGTCTCTGAGAGCTCCCAATTCGTGCTTTGACCCTAAAGAATACACAGGAGACATGCATAGACTAAGAAAGAGCCAGCAGAAGAAAAATACAATTCAGGGCCTATCCCATCCCATATATGCAGCCACAAATGGTCTCTGACTTTGCTTATCTACACAGCATGTCCATCACACACACACAAAAAGACCAAAATCCCAAACAAGTAATTCATTACTAAAACTATTTGATAGCTTAGAAATGTCAGAGAAGCCAATTCCCTATTGAGTCCTTGTTTCTGGTTTCATCTTTTCTTTGGGGCGGGGGCGGGGAAGACAAGGTCTATGTAGGCCTGTAATTCAAGATCTTTCTGCCACAGCCTCCAAGTGCTGAGATTACGGGAATACTCCACCACATCCAGTTCAAACTTTTCTTTTCTTTTTTTGGTCTTTTTGAGACAGGGTCTTCCTATAGCTCCAGCTGGCCTGGAACTCACTATGTAGACCAGGCTGACCTTGAATTTATAGACATCGGCCTGCCTCTATGTTGGGATTAAATGGGACTAAAGGCATGCACCACTATGCCCAGCATAACTATCAATAAAGAAGAGAAGTAACTACTGGGTATTTGGGTACATACCAGGAGACATATAACATTTGGTGACTTTCCAATGGCTAACTTGTCAACGTCCCAATATTTTCCCTGTATTGTGTAACATTCAGTTTTTTCAGATTAGGAAACTAAGGGTCCAACAATTAACATTTATGATGTCACAAAGCTAGACAGATTTATTGGATTTCAAAGCCCATACTCTTTTCCATTAATTACTAAACCTTTCCGGAAACCAAAGAGAATAAAAGAAAATATCTAAAATTTATAATCCTATTTTAAAATGTGTATTTCAAAAGTGGTTAAACAGCCAGAAGTGGTGGTGCACACGAGCATTTGGGAGGCAGAGGCTGGTGGAACTCCTAGTTCCAGGCCAGCTAGGACTAAGAAGTGAGACCATGTTGCAAAAATCCACCAGCCCCCTCAAAAAAAGCTGGGTATGGTGGCACATGTCTTTAATCCCAGCACTCCAGAGGCAGAGACAGGTGGATCTATGTGAGTTCCAGGTCAGCCTGGTCTACATATTGAGTTCCAGGTCAGCTGGGGTACAGGGAGACACTGTCTTAAAGACCAAAAAATTAAAAATAAAAAACCTAAACCAAATCAAAGCCAAAGCAACAAAGTGGTTAAGTACAATCAATGTTGTGCACCCAACCTCCAGTATACATCTTATAAAGCTGCTTATGTCCATAAAACAACTATTTCCTTCTCTCTCTAAGCCCTAGCAACCACCAATCTTCACCCTGTCTTTAATACTGATATCATATTAAGTAAATCAGTTTTGTGGGTTTTTTTTGGTCTTTTTGAAACATGGTCTCCCTGTAGCCCCAGATGTCCTGAAACTTAATATATAGACCAGGCTGGCCTTGAACTCACAGAGATCCGCTTGCCTCTGCCTCCTGAGTGCTGGGACTAAAGGTGTTGTGCCACCATGCCCAGCGTAAAATCAGTATTTTTAAAAAATTTATTTAAAGATTTTGCTGGGTGTAGTCATGGATCTCAAGGTCAGCCTGGTCTACACAGTGAGTTCCAGGCCAGCTGGGGCTACAGGGAGACTGTGTCTC